GCTTGGCCAGGCTCGGCCCATGGGCTAATCAAGCTCATCTAGGGACAAGTGCGAGCCGGAAGCAAAAATATATATTCATCGACCCATGAGCTCGTTAAAAAAATGTGACCAAACGGTCACATTTCAAAGAATAAAAATAAAAATATATATGAGCTTGTGGGCGAGTTGAACTCCGCCCACGAGCACAAGCAAGAGACAAGCCGAGCTCGTGAGCTCATGGTCCGAGTCCGCTCAATTGGGCCCATTAACACCCCTGAATGATTCACCCCTCAATTTGCTAATTCCTAGAATTTTTTTTATCTATTAATGTCTTGATCAAAAGTCAAATTAATCAAGTTGAAAAAAGCACAATCTTTAATGAATTAACCTAGAATGGCTTCCTTAAAGGAGAATAACGATGATAATTATGATGAACCTACATAATTTATGATTAGGTGAATGGTAGAATAAAGTATGGAAAAGGGCTCACGAGATATCTATCTCCTATTTGACATTGTATACATTATAATTTTATTGGTTGGAAGTTTAATTATATATCTCCCCCCGAAGTTCGTAATTGTTCCTCGTACCTTTGTGGTGGTTTGAATTTATAAAACAAAAAAATAAAATCCTGCTCGTGCGGACACTTGTGTCAATTGAATGGAAAAATTAAATTTGCATTTGTTCCATAATTTTATCAACTCTTTGGTCGTTTTACTCTTATTAGAACTTCCCCAATCTATGATATTTATTATGTTATAACCCCTCGGGGCATAACTTAGTGGTGCGGTGAGGTAGTCTCAGTCTTACTGGCAGCCGCAGTGTGAGGGTTCGATTCCTGAGATATGGAATTAGACACTTTGTGGGCACCAGTGTACAGGCAAGCTCTTGTTCCCTGGCCTGCTAAGGCACATCCCCCGATTTACCTCCCTCACGATGTTTCAGGGATAGGGTGATGAGGGCTTTCAAGATTTGGGTTCAACCTTTTATTTATTTATTATGTTATAAAAATATTTGACTTGAAAAGAGTGCAACAAGGGAACCAGTTGGAGCTCCTAGTTGTACTTGGCAATAGATATATGAAGCGCACCCATCGTCTACTTGATGAAATTTTATTAACAATATTGTTGTATATTTTTATGAATTTTCACATATTTGTGCTCCTTGAGAAGTAATTTAAATTTGTAATTACGTGTACAATTTCTTTTCTTTTGCTTTGTTGTTGAATGGGACTTTATTTTGGGTTGTTAAACTTGTAATTTCTGAACTAGCAACTTCAAGTGTCAAACGTTGAAGAAAAGCCTTAACTTCACTAAGAAATGAGTTTATATTTTTTTCCTTTAGATTCTTAGTAAAGTCTAGGTGACATAATAGTATGGGTGAAACATCACAGGTTGTTTTATTATTTTATAATAGCATTGGCAAAACCTAGTTTATTATTGAGCAATTTGACATAGTTTTTGAAAAATCAAAATGAGCTTTCGAGACTCAGAATTTACTTTTGAGCTCGTTTGGTTAATTTTATAAAAGTATTTTTTCTAGTTAGAATAACTTTTAGAGGAAATTAGTCTAACATAGCTTCCTTTAAAAATACTTTCAAAATAGAAAACTCTTTTAAATATTAATTATTTAAAAAAATAAAATAAGTTCTTCCAAAAACTCTTTTACATAAATGAAATAAAAACAAAAAAAAAAGTTATGCCAAACAAACCCTAAATGTGGGAAAACCATAAACTTCCATTTCCAACCTTCACTCATTTTCACACTTCTGACATTTTTATTTGTTAACATTGATGTTCCCAGCTCTCTTGGCGCTCATGTTACCTAATGACGGTTTTAATTTATCCAAAAAAATCTGAGAAATTTTTCATGTCGAATGTGATCGACTCGACCATAGAGTACAAACTTTTATCTTTATCTTAGAGTTGACTATTAAGAATTATAAAATCTAATTCTATTTCATCGAGAGCAATCAATTTGAAAAAGGAAAAATAAACCTTCAAGAACGTGCCAGATTTATAGAGGTTCACCTTGAATGTGAACTGCAGTAATTCACTATAATAAAAAAAAAAAAAAAGGGTTTACAAGAGAAAATCTCATTTATATTTTCTCTAGACTCTCTTTTTATGATGATAATAAAGTTCAAGGATGACTCCCTATTTATTAAAAAAAAAATTATGACAAAATCGAATTTTACCATGACTCAAATTCCTTAAAATTTTTTTACTAGAACACAAATTTCTAAATAGTCCTTTACGAAAGGGCTAACCTCCGAGAGGGGGGCGGACTTCCAATCTCCACGAAGACCTCACCATCGAGGTTGACCCGCGACCAATTTCTCGAATTGGCAATAATTAGATTCCACAACTTAACATCGACTAATTGGACAAAAGAAAGATAAGGTAGCATTTTTTATTTCAATCATGCTACAAGTGCAAATACTTTTCACAGGAAAGTTTTACAGATAACACTTGGCAGGAATTTATTGGAAGATGGAACAAAAAGGCAAATAGGGTGCTGTCACAATATGGATTATGCTACTTGTACGTAAAAATGGTACATAAGGGGTTATATAAAATGATGTGGAGGGAAAAGATTAGATTAAAAATTTAATTGTGTTTTAAACTGACAAATAATAAAGTGACATGTAACATCATGTAACTCATTATGTAAAGTTTGATGTACATATAGCAAAGTCCGTCACAATATTACTTGTAAAGATTTTGTCAACCAATCCCTGCACTTGAAGCTTAATACTTTTAAGGGTTATGCTAAAGAAGGTCAGCCTCCCTGACCGAATCGTCACTCCCTGTTTCTTTAGCATAATCTTACTTTTAATTTCGACACAATATGTGGTGAGTAAAAATAGTAAACTGTCTCCTTTGACTTTTCTGTTTAGATGACGGAAACAGACCTCAATCTTTCCCTATAAATAGGGTGCTTAGAGCCCTTAATCTGCAAATCACTCAGCATCTAATTTGCAAAACATCGAATCGAAAATGGCCCTCAAAAATCATCTCTTGACTTTTCTCTCCATTGCTATTATGGCAACGTCAATTGCGGAAGCCCAACGACGAATTGCCAATGTATCCGTCACTGGAACTGTTCCTCGGATCTGGCAGTGGGCTGGGCTGGGCTTGGCTATAGCCCAGCACCTGCCCACAACCCACTTGGTATGTATTTTACAGTTAAATTGGCCCAAATAACTATGTTTGGCCCAGCTTCATCAAATTGTGGCCCAATCCCAAGTTCAATTATCCAAATATTCTTTCATGATATTAATGACATGTGTACAATTTTATTACCAAATTAGTTTTCTATTTAATGCATATTTTACTTATAACTATATATAAACTTTTATAATAAATAAAATTGTATTGCTTAGAGCTAAAATAAATTACTTACTTTAATAGTAAGAGATAATGTTTGGCCAAGCTTAAACTTATTTATACTCATAAGAAAGAAATTTATTTTGACCACGAAATCGATGTCATTATCAAAATAAGTAACTTATTTCATATTTAATCTTATAATAAAAAAATATATTTATAAGAACTTATTTGTTTATAAACAATAAAATTATATGTATATTATAGAAACTGAATCAAACATGGATAAAATTCTTAAATTCTTCTTTTTTTAGTTTCTTTATTGTTGGATATATCTCATTTGCCCACGTTTATCATACTTTTATCAGTTTACAATTTATAAGGTGAGCATCGATTTCGTATTTTGCAAAAAAAAAAGTACGAATATTTAGTGAGACATCTTAGGATGAAAATTTAAACTTGCACTTCATTGAGTGTCTAAAACTATTTGTTATGAACGTAGTCTTTTAAATTTGATCTCTTGTAGAGTGAATTTATTTAAAAATTTTAAATTTAGCCCATCCCTGAATCACTACCTAACTCTGCCCTTGTGCTCTCAGTAGTGTTGGTGTCAATGTCATTCGACCTTTCCCAAGTAAGTTAATCTGATTTTACGTCACAAATTTTCGAGATTCAAATCAAAATCATCAAACGTGAGGTTAATGGAATATTATCCTCATTATTTTCCATTTTTATACATGCAACTTTAACCTAATTACATTTTCTACAGATGTTACGGTGGTGTTGCTATGCCCCCCTCTAAAGATTATCAGAGCCAATAAAACTACAAGTTCAACTGGATCATTTAATCTCACCCTGGATGTTACTCCATTGAATATCAGTAACTTAATCATCTGCAGATTAGTTGTTACCACACCTCTCAGCAGGTGCAATGCAACCCTGCCTGGAATTGGACGTCTAGTGTCGATTGGCTCAATCATAGCTGGAATTAACATTCTCCTGAGAAATCTCGGCTTCATTACAATACAATAATCGGCATTATTTAGTAGATCAGATGGTTAACTGGACAACAGCCTGAATATAAATAAATCTGAAAGCTTCTTGTTCTGTATTAAGTGTCTAATACTATTTGTTTTGAATGTAATGAATGTAGTCTCTTAAACTTGATCTCTTGTAGCGTCAATTTATTTAAAAATTTTAAATTTTAGCCCACCCCTAAATCAGTTCCTGGCTCTGCCCTTGTGCTCTCAGCAGTGTTGGTGTCACCTTTTCCTAGTAAGTTAATCTGATTTTACGTCACAAATTTTCGAGATCCAAATCAAAATCATCAAACATGACATTAATGGAATATTATCCTCATTATTTTCCATTTTTATACATGCAACTTTAACCTAATTACATTTTCTACAGATGTTACGGTGGTGTTGCTATGCCCCCCCTCTAAAGATTATAAGAGCCAATAAAACTACAAGTTCATCTGGATCATTTAATCTCACCCTGGATGTTACTCCATTGAATATCAGTAACTTAATCATCTGCAGATTAGTTGTTACCACACCTCTCAGCAGGTGCAATGCAACCCTGCCTGGAATTGGACGTCTAGTGTCGATTGGCTCAATCATAGCTGGAATTAACATTCTCCTGAGAAATCTCGGCTTCATTACAATACAATAATCGGCATTATTTAGTAGATCAGATGGTTAACTGGACAACAGCCTGAATATAAATAAATCTGAAAGCTTCTTGTTCTGAATATGGACAGTAGTAGAACCACAGTTTCAGTATATCCACTAGATAAATACCAAAGTTTCTTGTACTAAGTTGTTCTGCAATGGTGGTTTTGTTCTTATCCTTCTTAAAAATGTTCAAATTTAAGCTAAACATTGAATTAACGGATTTTTGGAATAGAAATCGTCCAAAGTCTTTCAAGTGCTTATTTACCCAATATATATTTTGAGCAATCATCTAAAAGTTTAAACTATTAGAAAATAAACATTCATTTACTTGAATTTAATTTTCCACGTCCCCCAGTGTGAAGATTAAATAAAATTTTCATCAAAAACCTAACATATACACAATTTTCTTAAACGTGTGGCAATGCGATAGACTTAAACACGAGTCTTGCTTGTCCTATTACAATGTTGAATCAAATTATCTAGAAGTTTAAGTTATTCGAGAAGTACATTTATTAATTTAAATTTAATCTTCAACAACTTATTTCTATTGGGCGTCAAAGTTGCCGGTCCACATAGATTCGTTGCCGAACTCTGGCTGCTGCTGCTGCTAGCTCCTAGTAAAATGTCTTAAGATTCGAGTATTAGTTGAGGGCTGCTGATAAATATTCTACAAATCCTAAAATGTCGATATGGGCTGCTGATAAATATGAAATTATATAAAAAATTGAGGAAATGGAAAAGTTATGACAACTCATCTTATGAAGCATGGATTATTAGTTAAAAATGGTTCTGTATTAAGACATGACAAATCTGTCCGTGTCTACCAAACATGTGCGAAGTTTTGACTCAAAATTTGATACTGATTATGCCTTTTTTCAACGCACTTAAATGCTATTATCATTTTCTTAATCAAATATCTATCACGTAACTGATTTTCATCCATGACATAAAACTTGATCTTATTAACATTTTGCCGCCTTAAAAACTACATATCGACAAAATGTTCGGTAGTATGCGAGCGAGTAGCAACGTTTGTCGAACATGCACTTTGAGTTACCTCGTCTAGTGACTTAAATTTTTAAGAAGAAAACTATGTATATTGTGCAAACAATTCATTGTTTCACAACATCAAGGGATCTAAATCTAACTCCAACTTCAAAATCTTGGGTGTGAAAAGTTATTTCAAACTCATTCCAAAAAAGTTAGTAATCATATCCTCAATCAAGATCCAAAAAGTGCTTTCTTTAACTTGCAAATTGAGACACTATCCAAAAAGACTTTCATAATTTTGATCCATCTATTATCCAATCAAACTTATTAATTCCACATCAATTGAAATGCAAAAAGATGATTCTCAAGATAGCCCACTACTCATTTGAATTCAACTCACAACTAACCAACACTAAACAGATGGCAAGAAATAAAAACATGGCTAGACGGAGGAATATATAAGCAAAAGTAAAACATAAAATAAGATTGTGAACATGTAGGGCATGTGCTCCGTGAGCTAGACTCGACAGTGTTGGACAAGATTAATGAAATAGACGAAGGTAGAAATCTCATCGGTCGTCCTGTCCTGTCCTGTCCAGTCCAGTACCCTCTAATGACATAATTACTCAACTCACAGCCAACAATGAAGGAATTGCAGACAAATTAGGAGTGGTTTTCTTGTTTGTAGAAGATGAATCCCTTTTACCAGAAAAGGCCCTAACTGGACTTGCAAGTGCCCATCCCCAACTTTTACTCCTTCCATGTGTGATTGCTCCTGATGATTTCCCTACCACATGATCTCGATCTTGAGTTGAAGAAGGGGCCCAATTTGATGATGATGATGTGATCATCAGATTACTAAAAATGCCACCACACCTGATTGCTCTTTCCTTGGTACAATCTTGCCCATTATTGGACTTTTTTTCCCTATGGGACTCCACTCTGCGTAGAGTACAATCACCCAAGCCAGTTGAAATTCTCTCAAAGAGGTCACCAGAAAATCTCCTGCTTCCACAGCCAACAGATCTTGATCTTGACACTTTTCTGTCAAAACCCGCCTGATGATCGTCAGGATTGATCTGATCATTCTCATCAACGGCCACAAATTGATATTCTTTCTTCTTCTCACCTGATGTAAAGTCTGAATCTTTACAGTTCTTTACAGTTTTCTTCGGCTTTGTTAAGTAAAGAAATGACCAGAACCCTCTTTTATCTGGGTTATGATCTTCTGAATCATTCAAGAAATGCATACCCCCTCTTGCATTACTGGTAGTAGATTTGCTTCTCTTGAAAACAGAAGGCAATCTAGAAGATCCACGGTGGCAGGCTTGAAGGGTGGCGGCGGTAGCGGTGGCGCCACCTCCTTGTTCAGATCTGAATGAGGGAGAAGAAGGGAAAATGGGTACAGGAAATGAAGAGACTAAATTTCCAAGCTTCTCTTGGAGGCAAAATGCACAGATCCCGCCTGGGCTGCTGCTGCTCATGTATGGATGATTTGTACATTGCATGTTGTCTTCTTCGTGCACCACTTCCATAACCATTTTTACTCCAAAATCAAGAAGATTTCAACACCTTCAAGGATCAAAAATCGCTTAGCTTATATGGGTACTTGATTTTTCAGGCACTTTCGAAAACTATAATGAAATGCATACAAAGTGATACACACAATTTGAGAGAGAGAGATGGTCAAAGGGTGGAAATGAATGCATTTGCGGCATTGGAGTAGGAAATGGTTGGGTGAAGGGGACTGACGGGAGAGTTCCCAGGAGCACGTGGAAACTGACTTCTTCGAATATTTAAGTAACAATAAGTCGAAAGTTTAGTGATCGTTATTGAAATTATTTCATTAATTTAAAATAGGCAAATTTCACTTTTTGTTTAATAATTTTCAACTTTTTTAGCATTAGACATTCTCAATTTTTCAAAGATAGAGCAAAACTCGTCATTTTGTCCATTTGGCCGTAAAATCCACGCACAATGATGAATCCCACCAAAAAAAATTAAAAATAAATAATATTAATATTAATAATATTAAAATAAATAAATGAAACAACTAAATAAAAAGTAAAGGAAAATTTACACCAAGATAAATCGAGTAACTGAGTTCAGACTATTTTCAACATTATCGTCTAATAAAATGTTAAAAACTAACTTGTCTTTAGAGAACGGATTAAATATTGCAACTTTTCACTCACTTTAATATAAGGGCCTCTTTGATACAAACCAATTTCATGAGAAATGAATTTTCCACTCAAATATCTTGTTTGATAGACAAAATTTTCCATAGAATTAGTTTTCCACCCTACCTCCTCGTGACCCTTTTTTCTTGGTTTTTAAGGAATTTGTTTTTCTTTGATTTTGGTGAAAAAGTGTTTTCCAACTTTTTTTTTTTAATTTTTTAATTTTCGGCTATGAAAACAAATTATATTCACAATTGTAACAAATTCTATTCCTTTAATTGACAATTTTCATGAAAAATGAAGCCAAACGAATACCAACATATTCAATTTTTTAACATTTTTTAAGTAAAAAATTATATCAATTAAACATATTTAATTAACAAATTTAAATAAAACAAGTTTTAGACAATTTAAACCCCTAAAATTCATTTTCTTTCCTCCCAAATTTCATTTTTCCAATCAAACGACCCAAATAGAAAAAGAATCTCTGGCCTGCATGTGTAGTCGAAAGAGACACTACAAAGCCTTTTTATTTAGGACTTCAAAAAAAATTTGTATGCTGCAAAGAACATTGAATATGGAGTGTTGTACGTTGATCAGACTTCCATTGAGCTTTCGTGTTTGTACATTTAAAAGATTCATGGCAATTCCTAGTCCCAATGGATTGCCTAAAAAGATTCACAAATTAATATTGTAATTAAAATGGGATAGAGAAATTCATTCTTTTTCAGAATGTGGCATTTTTTTCTCTTTTAAAATGATTGAGTTTTATTATTTCTTGTTTAAACTATTTTGTTACTATTAGTCTATTATAATGTCTTGAATGGCGTCTTTTTCATTTTAAATTAATTAAGATTGATTCGCGTAAGTCAAATTAAGCGTCGATCAAAATCGAACACTAATATTTTCAGCAAATAAAAATAATCAACATCAAACGAATGGAGTGAAGGGGATCGTGCACCAAGGAGACAATGCACTGAGAGGGTAATAGCCAAGGTTGCACAATTGCAACTACGGAGGAGTTGTGCATTAAGGAAAGAAGGAATGAAGGTTGCCCTCGAGTTTTAGAAGAGGGGTTGGCAACACACAAATGGAGAATTGAGGTCTAAAAAAAATGTTTAATATGTAAACTATCCTATAAAAATAACTGTAGAAGTAGTTTAAAATCTCCTAAATCAAGTTCAATTATTTAATTTTTTATAGAGATTATCTTCGTAAAAAAAAAAAAAAAAAGAAAAAAAAAACCGTAAAAGAAGTATATAATTGGAAAAAGAAATTCCAATCTATTTCTGTAATTTTTTAATGAGATTATTTTAATACTGGAAATATTATTAATAAATATAGATACCTCGTGAAGCTTGGCAATATTTAGTTGGATTTTTCTCTTTTTTATAAGCACTAACTTCCAGAGTTTGATTCTTTGTCACACTTTTCCATGTTACACGGCTGCGTGAATGGATCCTCCTCCATTTTCAAAGCTTTTTTGTATAAGAGGTGCTTTGGATGCTTGAAAAACTAAAATGAATGAGTGCTTTAACCATTATCTATATATACTTTTAAATAGATTTTATGTTTATAAGTAAATTATCTGACTGACTTGAATGCGAGTGGAATGTGATAATTTATTAAGAAAAAGAAGATTATCGACATGCTTAGTAAATCCATGTATCGTACATGTGTAGATCCTATTATGACTAGTGAGTGAACGTGTGTTGCACGTTAATTGGTTAATGTTTAAAATAAGTGTGTAAATTTTAGAAAAATTCATTCTTAAATTTGAAAGGTATTAATAAATTCATTGAAATTGACTTATTTTTCGTCAATTTTCTCTGTATATGTTTTATTCATATGAACATTCGAGAATTTGCATATAATTGTACCAATCATTGCCCTATATAAGTGTGGAAAAAATTTGTATGTAGAATATATTTCTTTACATATATTAGCTGAGCCTAAAATATGATTTAGTCCACTCAAACTTTGCCCCTAATCCATACTATGACTATAATAATTAAATATCACCAAGATATATAACATAACAATTTCTACATTATTGCATTAAAAATGATTTTTCATGTTGACAGACACCATGCAGAATCCTAAATTATAGCTTAAATTATTAAATTCAATTTCATGTATCAACCTTTTTCCAAGGACATGATTTTGTTATCATTGGAGCTTGATTGTAAGATTGCAAAAACGTAATTACAATATTAGAAAATAATGTAGACATGAGCATAACCATAAAGGGAGAAAACCTCGTCAAACTTTTCAAAGTTTAACTAAAAGGAATTTTAAATCGAACAAAAAATTATTTATAATATGACGAAAAAAATTTAAAACAATTTTCGAAAAATATAATAAAAATAAAACAAAAGAAAGTTACGAAAATTAAATAAAGAATATATAAATATTATTTAATTAAAATT